ACTTCTTAGTGTATTGGGATGGAGACAGGCTGCCTAATTCCATCGATAGTAACCACCTTCACACCCCTCTGTGTGCTTCATACTTCACCCATTCCTTTGATAAAGGAATATAGAATAAGTTTTGGGAGAAAAACATTAGTTAACAAAAAGATGAAGTGCACAGACTAGAATACAACAGAGATAATACGGACATGTGACAAAATAATAAATTTGGGGCAGGGGTGGTGATTCTGGCATTGTGACAGAGTGAGGTAAGCCCCCCACCTGCAGTGTCAGCATTCTATATGGTCACCACTTCAAGTCCTGGCTGCTCCACTTCCAAATCAGCTGCCTGCTAATGCATTTGGGAAGAAAGCAGAAAGCCTAAGGACTTGGACCCCTACAACCCAAATGAGAAACCTGGAAGGAGTTCAGGCTCCCGAGTTCAGCCTGCCTCAGTCCTGGCTATGTAGACTATTTGGGGAAGAAACTAGGAATAAAAGGTCAATCTTTTTCTTCCTCTCTATATGCCTTTTAAGTTAGTAAAAATGTATCTTCTAAAAAGTAATACAATAAGAACACAACTATCTTAGAATACACAAAAGGTCACCACAGCTTTACTACTCATCTCTGCTCTAATGCTACTCCTCCAAGAGAGAATATTCGGTTAGGAGCTATTTGGTTCAGACATTATGAAACTTTCTCTCACATTCAACAAAATATAGTAGTCACCAAGTATTTGGGCACAATATGTTTCTAATATGTTACCATTTTGGATACAAGGAATTCTAAAAAAGGACACAAAGTAAAATTCTCCATGTGACAGAACTTCTGAAGAGACGGAGGTATTCAGGGGGTAATGTTTTGGTGTAACAGGCTTATCTGCTGTCAGTGATACTGGCATCCCCAGTAGGTACCAGTTCTTGTCTAAACCTCTCCACTTCCCATCCCTGCTAACAGCCTAGGAAAAAGCAGTGGAGGATGACTCAAGTATTTGAGTCCCTGCCACCACAGGGGAAACCTAGACAAATCTCCTGGTTCCTGGCTTTGACCTGACTCTGGTCCAGCTCAGCCCTGGCCATTATGGCTCTCTAAGGAGTGACCCAATGAATGGATGAGCACTTACTGTTGCTCACTCCCTCTTCCCACATCTTCCTGCTTATAGCTCTTACTTTCAGTAAGTAAATCTTCAAACAAATTGAGGTATTTGTCAGTTAGCCAAAGTCATATTTCAGCAGAATTGCTTTTCCTTGCAATTATCATAAAGCTAACTTACAAAGGTTTCCCTGGATAGTTTTGGACCTGGTATATAATTAACTTAGCCTGAATGCTTAACCTGAGGTTTTACCATACAAAAAGAAAAGTTCGCAATTTTCATGGCCTTCTGTCATATTTTTTAAACTCTGATTTTCTGGGTTTATTTCATTTGGCAATTTAGTGTAGTTTCCTTTTGATTTTTTAAGCGGAAGAGATTTTAATTATTTGATATACAGATTGTATGATGGAGAATAAAGTATCAAAAAGATGAAAGCAGATTGAGATGATCTAATGTTGTACATTTTAATACAATCCTCTTTATGTTTTGACAAGCAACTGAGATGAAATCACCACATTTACATTGAAGTTCATTAGTTGCATGGAAATATACAAGCTCACAATATCTCCAAATCTGAACAAAAGCAAACTGAACAAATGTGAAATGATATAATTTGAAATACCCTTAATACTTTTAAAATTCAAGTTACTGTTGAATCTCTTCAAATTATTCTTGAATCCTATCCCAAATGGAACAACACTCTAAGTACTCATTAAGATAGCATAGACTTAGTGATTAGAGGACTCAATTTATCCTTCATATCCATATGTTTAACTGTAAACTGTTGACAACTCCACAGTCTCAAGAGCTGAAACCCTAGCCTCTCCTTCAGATTTGTTGTCTTTTATTTTTAGATGTAATCACTTCCCTCCGGTAAATGGTTAGTGACCGCACGCGCAGGTCTGTACTTGAGGAAACTAAAAAGGGAAGCTTGCGCTATGAATTAGACATATGAGAAATACGAAGAGCACTCTGCCAGGCCATGCCCTGCATATCATAAGCTTCAATTATTGGTCTGATAGTGCTGCGCTGACATTTCCAATTCATGCAAGTGATACGTGAAGTTAAGCAATTTCCATTCACACATGGTTTCACAAGCACCTTTTCACAAATGATATAACATAGATCAATTATTTATAATTTCCCTTAATGCTTTGAGAAATACCAATTTTACAAGAGTTCGGATTAATTTTGAAACCATGCGCTTAGGAAAATCTTTCAAGATTAATTTGGTTATATAAATTGAAATACAATATGTGAATCTGAGTAGACACAGAGCACAAACTAAATAGAGATGGTTAAGTTATAAAAACAATGTTTAAGGAATTTTAAAATGGGAAATTTCAGTTATGCAAGATAATTAAATTCTAGAGCTCTTCTCTGTAATATTGAATTGACAGTTAACAAAACTGTGTTACATCCCTAAAAATTTTAAGAGGATACAACTCAGGTTGTAGTCTTGCCACAATAGTTTTTAAGAATTTACTAGTGATATAAATAACAAAAGACAAAAGAAAGTTTGCTAGCCTAAAATGCCAGATACCTGCAGAGGAAGAGAATAGGCAATGAAATCTTAATCATCCCAACAGTGAGTATTTCTCCAAGTGCTTCTCTCAGATGTCCCACATTCTATCCACAGGGGATTTAAATAAAGTTACTGCATCCCACTGCCCCTTAATCTGCATCGTGGTCCTCTGAGTAGAATGATAAAATTGATGCCAAGGGGATTTTGTTCACACTAATACCCGAAAATCTTTGATGTGATACTTCAGGTCTTTGTTTTCATTAAGAACATACTATACCCCAGCATGTTCCTAAAATCTGTGTCCTATTCAAAGATCTTTCATCCTAATTATATAAAAAGAGGAAAGAAAAAGAAAATCCTGTCTTATCCCATTTTCTCTAAATCACAAAACATTACCTTCTATTTCCTGATGAGTTGGAATTGCAGAGATTATCACAATAAAATCCTCAGTATTTCCAGCTATGTAATTTATCAGTTATTGTTCATGTGTTTCTCAAAGAAAGTGTATGCCCCCAAAAACTGTATGACAACCACATGATGTCATTTATCCAGCACTCAAATGTCCATGCATATTTTAGGAAATGTACCTCCTACTAAACTAGCAAACACTGTAAGGACTTATATTTAACACCCTTAAATACCAAAATGTATTATGCCTTTATAAGTCATTGTTTTATGTAAGGCTCAAAAATCTCAGTATGTTTATCAAGAAAATATTCCAAATTAAGCACATTACCAAGTTTAAAGATGTGCATAATATTTGCCACTGGAAGCAGACCCAATAGAGAACTTGGGGAAGTCCTTTGTCAAGTTGCAGTCAGGTTTGGTGGGGCCTACGTCAGATGACCCAGGACTTTCAGCCCACCTGTGAGGTAAGTGAGGGATCCATAAGCCCATGGGTGGAGTCCATAAACCCCAGGAGGAGTCTGAAGGGGCCTGGATCTCCCAGCCCAGGTCCTTGGGCCTGCTTTCGTGGTGAGTGCCAGGTCTATGAGCCCTGGTAGTAAGGGGTTCACTAGGGCCTGGGTCATCTGGCTTAAGTCCTCAAGCCCCCTACTTGGTGGATATTGGGTCCAGAGCTTCACAGGTGGGGAGTTCAGCAGGTTCCATGTCACATGACCCAGGGCCTTGAGCCTGACTGCATGGTGGGTGCTGCGTTTGAGAACTCCAGGGGTGGGGTATCTGATGGGGCTTGGGTCACCTGGCCAGGTTCTTGGACACACCTGCAGTAGGGTACATGCCCATGAGCCCCAGGGTTGGGGATCAGGCTTGGCCTATAGGCACCTGCTCCAGGTCCATGAGTACCCCTATAAGAACTGGTCCTCATTATAAAGGATGGAGTACTGGATGGCAGACCATCATGCACATAGAGGGCATGTTAGTCCATTGGTACCTGCAGAGGACATCTGGTACCATATCAGAGAATGGAGAACAGAACATGTACAACTACACCAGCCAAACAATGACAGCAAATATTTGGGTGAATAAAAACTCTAAGGTCGACTGTGTCAGCTAATGGATATTGGAAGGGATTCCTCATCCGTAGATCCATAGATAGCTTTTTAGAACTATTGCATTCACCTGGACACAATCCTCAGAACATGCATCACATTGTGACCCTGAGTTGATATTGGGTGGCCTTTCCCCATCTTCGGGTATTGCGATGATTGGGAGGTGGGATATAGCTTATCCCCTTACCTTCTCCCTCCCCCCAGAAATGGGAAGAAATAGTTTGGAAACAATAATCACATCTACTTCTCCCTGTTTCTGGATCCTTCCTACCCTGGGCAACTATGTGAACATCATCTAAAATAATAGTAAGTATACTAATATGTAGATATTTATGTTATGTTATTTATATAAACATATATTATGATTGATAAATTTAGCAGCTGCAAATTAATGTGATGTTTAGTTCAAAACATCCTCAAAAGATCTGTTAATATTATGCTTGCCTCACATGCGAGACTACAAAATTTATATATAATTAACATATTCCCTTTATCGTGAACTTCATGCTTACCTCATTAAGATTAGATATATCCTAATTAATCCTACATTGCAATGAATCTCCCCACAGCTTGAGTGGCAGTTTGATAAAGAGGAAATACTATCTATGTAATAACATTTACAAACATTTATATTTATAAATATCAATGACAGAAAAGAAAGGGTAACCACACTAATATGGCATAGATAATAAATATAACATGAAAAAAGTCCAGTAATCTTAGAAATTCTTAATGAATATCCTGTGAAGATCAGTGATGGAAAACAGTGAATTAGTATTTATATTAAATTACTCTGTAATCTATGGCTTCTGCAATCTTAACATTAATTTTTAAAAATGACTTGAGGATCATAAATAATGGACTTTGGGCATGAAGATGGTCTACATACCTGGCTTGTCTCTGACTGACACAGAAGAGGAAGAAGGTGTAAGGAACATTGCCATCCAAAGCCACAGTTTCCAAGAGCCAGTGCACCTCATTGTGCTGTGAAACCATGTGAACAGGTGGACACAGATCTGCAATGGGAGAATAATGTTCAGATTGGCTTAACTGTATTTAGTTCTTTTACTTTTTCCCAGAATATCTTCCATCATTAAAGATAAAACATAATTGAACCAATTCTTACATAATTATATGATAGGGTACATGATTGCATATAATTATATACACTCCTTTAATGTATATGAAAAATCCAAAATTATTTTTAAGATTTGTTCCTAGTTGGCTATCAGAATCCATAGTCTCTTAGAACTTAAATTCTCTAAGAATTTTTTAAAGTTGTATCACCTACAATAACTTTATATTTTTTAAATGAGGTAAATAATATAAATTATATTCTTAATCTGTCTTAAATCAGTGCTCAGTAGAAAATATTCATGTTCTTATTCAAGCATCACCATCATTCATATCTGGAACCCTTTTTACCTTGCAGAACTGAAATTCTAGATCATTAAACTATAACTTCCCATTCTCCTCCCTTTTATGAGTTTACCGTTTTATGAGTTTTAGATTCATCCTTGGAGCATTTGTCATAATTTCCCTTCCTTTGGGCCCAGCATGATGACTCGGTGGCTAAATCCTTGCCTTATACACATTGGGATCGGCCACTCCACTTCCCATCCAGATCCCTGCTTGTGGCCTGGGAAAGCAGTCCAGGACTGCCCAAAGCCTTGGGACCCTGCACCCGCATGGGAGACCTGAAATAAGCTCCAGGTGAACAGAAGATCTGTCCCTCCTTCTCTCTGCAAATCTGGCTTTCCAATAACAATAAAATAAAAATCCTTCCAAAACTGAGTAACACTTATGTTTTATAATTGTAAATAATGCAACTACAAACATGGTTGTACAAGTTACCTGTTTGAGTCTTTCAAATCTTCTGAGCATATATTCAAAAGTGAGGTTACTACACTATACCATGATTTTTTTATTTTTGAAGAAATTACTAATTTCCATGGCAGTTGCATCATTTTGCATTCCAAGAATTCCTAAAGTTTCTGATTTCTCCATATCCCTAGTCACAGTAACGGTTTTCTTTTTGATAGAGGCCACACTAATGGATGGGAGATGGCGTCTCATGGAGCTTGGGTTTGCATGTCCCTAACTATGAGCAGTATTGGTCACTACTTCATGATCTTATTGCTCATTTATATAATCTTATTCAGAGAAATACCTAACAAGTTTGGTTGCTGTTGAACTACAGTAGTTTTTTATATATTCTGGATATTAGCTCCTTATCAGATTCTTAATTTTCTTATTTTTTTAAAGATTTATTTTTATTATTTTTTCATTGGAAAAGCAGATATACAGAGAGGAGAGACAGAGAGGAAGATCTTCCGTCCGATGATTCACTCCCCAAGTGAGCGCAATGGGTCGATACTATGCCAATCCGAAGCCAGGAGCCTCTTCTGGGTCTCCCACGCGGGTGCAGGGTGCAGGGTCCCAAAGCTTTGGGCCGTCCTCGACTGCTTTCCCAGGCAGGCAGGGAGCTGGAAGGGAAGAGGGCTGCCAGGATTAGAACCGGCACCCATATGGAATCCCGGGCGTGCAAGGTGAGGACCTTTAACCACTTACGCTACTGCGCCGGGCCCGAGATTCTTAATTTTCAAATATTCTTTTCCATCCCATAGGTTTCCTTTTCAGTTTGCTGTTTGCCTTTTGACACTCAGTTTTTGTATTTTTTGTTTTTAGAAGTTCATTTTATTTAAAGCCAGAGTTACTCAAGGGAAGAAAAGCAGAGGGCGAGAAACATCAAGTGTCCACTCATTAGCTCAATTCCCAAACAGGCACTTTTTCTACTTAGTTTTACTAGACTGAAGCCAGGAAGTAGGAACGCTGTTTGGGTTTCCCATATGGGCAACAGTGGTTCAAGCACTTGGGCCATCTTCTGCTGCCTTCCCAAGTACATTAGTTGGTACCTGAACAGGTGCTCATATGAGATGCTAGTGTCAAAGGCTTCTATATATTTGTTACCTACACTTTTGATGTCACATGATTCATATTTTATGCATAATTTAAAATTTATTTTATGAATATAATTTTACATCTTTTGGTTTAGTTAGTGTAATTGCATTCTGTTAATTATATTATTAGTGATTAAATACTCTACTAGAGTCATTACATGTATGAAAAGCAATCTTTCCTTCCATCTAAGGAGAAAAGGATATATGTAATAATCATTTAATCAGAACATGCCATTGGTGTTTTACTAATGAATTACATCTAATCAAGTATGCATTCAGAAAAGACTATTTTATGGATATTATATTAATAGAATGGGTAAACAGAATATAATGATAAATTTAAATTACTTTGTAATGAACTAGTGTGGAAATAAATACCAAGTAAAATTGCAATGGCTCAGGATATTTAACAATCACTATTTTATTAGAATAGTTATTCTAAGTGTTCTACGTCTACGTACAAATGTATCATTTCATTATCATCTTTCAAAATTTAATCAAGTGTCAGCTGTAAATTAACTCAGCATATCAGGGTTAAATTACATTGATAGACTCTCTTTTAGAACAAATATAGTTACCATCTTCTTTGGTATTTTGCATGTGCCAAATGCTCCCAAGACAAACACTTATAACTCTCATTTTTAAAGTATTCCTTTTAATAACTAGAAGCAGCAACTCCTATATTAAAATAGTATGGAGTGGGGGAACAGGTATTGTGGTACAACGGGCAAAGCAGGCACTTCAGATGATGGCGTTCACACTGCAGTGCTGATTTGAGTCAAGCTATCCTACTTGTGATCCAACTATCTACTAATGAATCTTGGAGGAAGCAGCCGTTGGTTTAAGTGCTTGGGCCCCACTACCAATATGGGAGACACGGGTAGTTTTAGGTCCCTGGCTTCAAGCTGGCCCAGCCCTGTCTGCTTTTGCAGGCTTTGGGAGAGTGAACATTAGATTTAAAAAAAAAAAGAAAAAGGCCACACTCCTCTCTTCTCTCTCATTAACATTCACCTACAATTTGCTTACCAATCAGATGGAAATGAATGGCAATTTTAAAAAAAAAAAGTGGCTTTACGTACTGACCAGCTAGTTCTATGCATTATTTCTTAATTTCCTCAACTAAGTACAGTCACAATCCTCCTACAATCTGTGATTGCATTCTGAATCAAAATATTAATTGATAAGTTCAAAAATTGTCATATTGGTTAGAAGTCACGGTTTCACTTCTGGCTTCTCTCAATTTTAAGTAAGTTAACTTTTCTAAGTCTTAATTTATTCATGAACAAAGTCAATCACTAAGAATGAAGTACTGAAAACATGAAACATAGTATGGGGTCATGAACATACTGTGTTCAAAAGGTAGCTCTTATTATTTACACTGCATATTAATAAACAATTATGCTTGTCCCTTCAGTCTGAGATTGATATTGGTATTGGAAGAATTTAACAAGTACCAAAGTAGTCTAGCAATGTAGTTTCACTGTAAATTTTGCCCTTGTTATAGAAACAAAGACTAAGAGTTATAAAGCTAGTAGCATATGTTTGACCTCTCTCAACAATTCCTTGAACCATATAAAAGATGATAGTGCTTAGCTTCCATACTCAGAGTGTTTGAAGAACAAGATTTTATGGTTAGTTGACTAATATTCTAGTTACTGAAGAATTTCCATTACACAATTTACAGATGTAGCAAGAACTTAAACAATCTCCTCTCTCCTTCCTATTAATTTCCAATTGCTAACCACTGTCTACCTAATCCATTATTATCATCATTATTTGTCAGCTGAGATAGTTTTGATTAGCGGTTGGGAACAGCATGCAACAAAGAAGTCATATATCTTCAAATTCCAATGCAGAAATCAAAGAACTCATATAAAGCCCTAATATTTCAATCCATTCATGATATGGCATAACCACCATGAGCCAGGCATAGGGCAAACAACAACGATTCAAATAGAAGAAGCTCCTGGTGTTACTCTATTCAGGAAACCAAAGCAACACACATGTATTATCTTTGTGACACAGACAACAGAAGTAACAAAAAAAATGTCTAGACAGAAGAACGAAATGGTGGGATTGCTAAACAAAATGCCAGAGCCTTCTCAGAGTAAGCTTTTGAGTAAAATAAACAAATCTCAGTCTAGAATCACTTTATTTGAATGACATATAAAGTTTTAGAATGCTCAGTAAGCATCTTCAAAACTCAATTTTAGGTAAAGGGTAAAGCCAACACCAAAACAAAAACATAAGAACAAATATAAAAAGAGAAAACAGAAATGGAACACATTTTGTGTTCAGTAGACTGTTAAATGAACAATGTAACATTTTTACTTCCAAAAACCCAAATTTGATTTGTTAAATTACAAAGTTATTTGTTATAAATGAGTAGGAGTCAACCTTTTAATGTACTATTATTTTAACTTCTTTTTAAATTTTTGTCATCATTCTATGATACAGTTCCATCCATAGGTCCTGGAATTCCCATATATTAATATAGCATAGCTCGTCATAAAAATAGGAGTCAATCTTTAGCTCACACTTTGACTATTTTCCAATAGGTCTATAAAGAAGTTGAGATCAGGAAAATCTGGGCATATTGTTATGAAGTGACACATATAAATGAGCAAAAATAACTGGCCTGTTGTACTTCTGTTCTACCAATCTTAAAACTATTGTTAGTGAAACTACGGTAGAATCTATAAAATATTGAGGGAAGAAATAGTTGAATACCTGTAGAGCAAAAAACCAATGAGACAAATATCCCAAGAATTCAGATTTACTTTCAACATAATTTCACAACTGTCTTATTGACTGGAGTAATGAAATTGAAGCAAGCTTGCAGAGCTTTTACAACTCAAAGTTTCTTACTTCACTATATTTGACAGAAATCTCTTGATTCAGATTTTAAACACAGGCCTCAACTTAGTACCCAAGGTAGAAATTTAAAAAATCATCTTCAAGTCTTTCTTCATCCTCTTTCTGTATTGAATATCCATCAGAGTTTGTCAAAGTTACAAAGT